TTAATATTCGAGGAGCCTTTCAATTTATTATGTGGTTTCGACCATATATGAGGTTCGTGATATCTAAGAGAATGTTTTCCATAGTTAATAGTGTTAAAAGTAGGAATACCAAAGTCACTGTTTCTTAGTTAATAACTAATAAGTGCTTTTCTACTTAAATAGTTCGTCAACAATACTCGGTGCGAGGCCATATTTTACTTCATACATTAATATATATAGCGATATCTTGTAGTCTTCGATTTAGTAGTTAATCGGCATTTTCCCTTTTGTTTACTTACTGTTGGCTTTTTCTCCGGCTACGCTTCACGTGATTGTCAAAGACTAACTAAAGTCATTTTCTACTCCCAGTTAGAAGGTTGACACGAAGAACTAAAATTTATCTTTTTGTTTTCGCTTGTCAGAAGGTTCTTGTAATTCTCCTGTTGATATCATTCTGGCACTGGATGCATCAGGAAGCGTGCTTAAAGTAAACTGGGAAAAGAGTATGGATTTTACCGGATCGCTGGCTGAAAAATTACTCAAATTAAACCCTGAAAGTCGCATAGGGCTCATTGATTTTAGCCAGGTTGCCAATGAAGCCATTTCACTGACCAGTGATCGCCAAGGTCTGAATCTAAGGCTTGAAACCGTGAGAAACTCGTATCAAAATGGTATTACTCGAACTGAACTGGCATTAAATAAAGCTCTTGAGATGTTTAACAGGATTAACAAACAAGGTAGAAAAAAACGGCTTCTCGTAATCACCGATGGTGTAACGACACCGCTGAATGGAATGGTAGGACTGGAGCTGTTAAAGATGCCATCTGAAAGCCTTGAATCAGCTGGTGTAACCATCATAGTGGTTGGAGTGGGGAATCAGGTCAACGATGAGGAATTGAATTTGATGGCTACCGATCCAGATAAAGAAAATGTATTCCGTATTGAAAATTACGATAATCTTCCAGATATGGTTGGCATCTTAAGCCAGGCTTTCTGTCAAGTCAACACTAACAAAGGTAAAACAACCCGTAGAAAATAGCTCCATGGAATTCTACAGAACTCCATGTATTTCCATGGAGTTCATGTATCTCGTAGCATGCGAGCAAGCTCTCCATTTGGTGGAGTCGCGAGAAGTCAAGCGAGTGCCGCGGGTCAGTCGCGGCTCGCTCTCACATTTTCTCGCGGCTCGCTTCATTCGCTCGCCATAAATGGAGAGCTTGCTGGTAGGCTATGTATCTTGATGGAATTTAATGAAATGATCGTACGTGAACGTCCAGGTTTGGTTTTTCTATAAATACAGTCAACTCTTTCTAAACGGAAACCTCCCTTAAACCAGATCACGAGATGGCCAGTCATTATATTTGGCTCTCTATAAGGACGACGCCTTATTTTATGGACACTTGCTGTGTCGTTCCCTACTATGCGTCATAAAGAGTGCACTCCTCTTGTTGCCACTTTCTTTAGCCAGTATTTATGCTGAGAAAACAGGAGACTTGGTCAGGCTTCAATCATTCAACTTTTGGAAAGGGTATCCTTGTTTTGTCTATGTTCTGGTAGATAGGTTCTCGACTTAAGGAAAGCAGAAGAAAACTCTTACAAACTCAACCAGGCAACCTCCTCTAATTGATTAAAATTGAAAAGAAGACTTTGAATACGAGACGTCAAGGCAAGCTACTTGCGTTTTTTTTAAAAAATGACAAAAAATATCATGTAGACAGTAAAAGAAACTGAGCTCTGGAAATATTCTTACTGCCGTTTCTGCAGTAATTTGAGTTTTATGGTATGTTTTTCTTTAAAATTCCAAAATTTTGGCAACAGCAATCCTTGTTACTGCTTCTGGGTGATTTCACTAACTAGGGACAGTAGTGTTTAAACTCGAATATTTCTTACCCGGTCGATAATGTTCATGAAAGTTTAAATAAGCGAACGAGTATATGATTAAGCTGCCTATCTATTTCTTTTTCAGGGGTCCCAACTGTACCACCTTCTTCTTCCTCTCCTTCTCATCCAAGTCTGGATCTTTCATTTGATTCAAGTGGTAATAAACTTATTATACGTACATGTGTTTGTGACTTTCTAGGAGTGCAGGAGCTGTTTAATTTTTAAATGTTTTGTAACCTAAACTTAAGTTGACTTTACGACCATGAAATTTGCATGATCAGCATTTTTAAAGACATGTATTTCTGTCAGTAAGTCCCTCTAAGCCAGCGTAGCTCGATAGGATCCCCACCGTTTTCGTTTTCGTTTTCGTCTTGTACTCCCTGTAAGGCAATCCTTGCCGAACTAGACGAAGGGTAGAGACGAGACGAAGTGTGATCCCCTAGTCTTCCAGGTAGGAAGTAGCGCAAACTGGGTAGATTGCAGAGAAGCCGGAATGCTAGCAATGATGATGGCGATATCAAGCTAACCAGATTTACTTATTTTACTTAAGTTGATGTTAGGGTGGTTATTTTATTGCCGACCTTTACTTATCTCTACTTTTCTCTCTTAGTTACAACCTGTCCCGCAGTCTATACAAAGGTAGGATGCTTTAGGGATGATATGTCAAACCCAAGACCACTCCCAAAACTGCTGTTTACAGATCGAGACCCATCAGTAAAGAAGTACTCTAATATTCCTGTTGATTGGCAAAAGTGGGACTCTTATATGAAGGACCTTGTATGTCGCTGTGCAAAGGAAGCAAAAGTTCTCAATTATCAATTCTTTAGTATCCAGTTCTATGGTAAGTTAAATCTAAAAGCAATTTCTAAAGGAATTTGCTATGGTAAAACGGATCAGTTTAGTTATTTGGTAACAGAGCTCGATACAGGTTCATCGAGCTCGATGTGTCAACCGGTCTCGATGAACAATCGACCCCAGGAAACTGTACTTGATGTGTCGATACCGAGCTCTCGAGCTTGCCAAGCAACCACATAACTAATATTATCCAAATATTTTCCATAACAATCAAATTAAGTGGCTCGCCAGAACTCGCCGTTGCAATTACCTAGTAAACTTTTTTTTAGAGAGGAACCTATGAGGGGATCTACTTACAAACTGTTAACTGACAGTGGTCCCGTGAGAATGCCCGTCCAACATAAAATACAGTTCAGGGTTACGATCAATCTAATGCAATGTTCTTTCCGTTAAGGTTCGTTACCGAATATTTCGAGTGTTACGTCGCAAATGTAGTAGCCAGGCCCTTTGTCTCAAACAAACTAAATGGACGTTGAATCATTCAATAAACATTTAACAACCTTTAGCAATTCAAACCGTGTAGGTGAGTGTTGGTCCGGACCGGACACTGGAGACACGTACAACAGAGCTGGTCTAGCGGATACGTGCATTACACGTGACCTTAAGCAGCGGTGCGATCCTTCCGATCCTGAAGAATGTGCTGGTGAAAAAGAAACAAACTTTGTTTATACTGTTGAATTACAAGGTAAGCATAGTGCCTAATAAGGCAAGGCTCAAGACTAGTTCTTAACAATTACAAAATGAGGCTGAGTATGATGTGAAGAATTATGCTGATCGACTGTTGCGAGGGGTATAACATACGCAGAGGGCCGACGTGAATAAAAGCCTCTGAGATCCACGTAATTCTTCATATCATACGAAAGATGAATTCAATTATTGTTTTATTATTCATGCAAAATATTTTTAAGTAACAATCTTATCTCCTATTGCCTGGTCCTCGGCGCTTTTTCGCTAAGGATGTAAACAGATGTTTTTTTGCAGGTAGAAAAAGCAGATTACATTTATAAAGCAATATCTTGCATTTCGTTCGTTCAGTTTCTGTCAGACCTTTACCTTTTTCGACTTCGTGTAGGTGTAAACTATTTCACGTTTTTAAAATTCATTCACACGTAAACAGCTTGTGTAAGAGGCTGCCGTGCCGCTGTTTGGAAACGAGGATGTGTATCGTTTGTATATTTCCTAGTATGATAAGCGCCGGCTGGTTACAATTAATTAGCCGCTGGATTGAAGCCACATCGAAAACGCGAAACATTTTGAATGAATAATACATCGAAAATATATTATAAGGCATATAAACCTGCGTTGTAGATAGAACAGAAAAACAAGACTGTACACACTGTAGTACTGCAATGAATCGAACAGAGAGACATTTAAAAAGAAACTTGAAAATTTTCAATGGCAAAATGGAATGTTGAATGTTGGGTTACCTACGCAGGCAAGTTACCTTGAGGTGTTTCAGCATGTCATCATTTGAATCCATATTTTACCAAATATTGAGGTTAAACGGACGCGACAATGAAAGGAAAACATGTAACATAGCCACAAGCTAATATAGAGCTTAAAGCTTTACCTGCATCGTACTAACTGCAGTTTGTAATAACCTAACGTTTATTCTCTCAAACGTCCTGTCCATTCACCCCTATGCTGGTGATGGCGATGGTAAGCTGATTGCAGGATTAAAACAATTGTAACATTCCTAGGTGGAGAGAACAGGACAGAATTGCAGGGATACCGAACTAATAGGCTTTATTATGTGTTTGGTTTCTTAGTCGCTGAGCCCGCTTGTAAAGTGACTTTTCATAAACTTGGATGCTACAAAGACAACGAAGTGCTTCCCCGTCCGTTACCGAAATTGATGTTTACCGACCGTGATCACAAATCTTTACTTTATAGCAACATAAGAATTGATTGGGGCAAGTGGGATTCTTATATCTCAGACTTGGTTTGTAGATGCGCAGAGAAAGCAGCCGAGAACAACTATCGCTTTTTTGGTTTGCAGTTTTTTGGTAAGTTTGTTTGATATGAAGTAGCAGTACTGTTTCTGACCAAGCCATGCGCTATTAGGCCACGCCAAATGATCGAGCTTTAGTAATGCTATTTTACTGGACAGGAGCCTCAAGCTCCTGTACTGGACTAGTAACCAGAAGGACATAGGTTCGACTTCTTTTAGGAGTAATCTGATTTTTTCATCTGACTCACTTGTGTTACTTCTAGTGTGCTCACCAGGGTAACAGTTCCCCAACACATTTCTCTCAATTCTCTCTATCTTTAAAAGCTATAGACATACTCGAGTTTAACCCACGAAGCCGCGCTAAGTACTGTTTTAAGTAACAGGAAAAAAATAATTCAACACACTGTTTTGAATTATTTTTTGGTGTCTGCAACAACCCTGTTTTAATGATAACTGTTTACTGATGAAATATTGTTACTTCGTTAAAGATGCCAATACTAATATTTCAGAGTTACCGTGTGGCACGAAATGTTTGCGGGTTCTAATTTTTGCTATTTTTCCAGCGATCCGCAAAATAAAGTTAACAAATAACAATTACCGCAAGCATTTTTTTCGCAAAAATTACTCCAGAGTAAATATTCTCTAACTAAAATTCACTACATAAAAATACAGTACTAAGAAATCGTGTCTGTTCAATCATAACTTGCCTCTTTCATTCAACATCAAACGGTATACAATGAATTACTGGTCTTACATAGGGTACGCATACCGTAGTATTTTTTTTTCTTTTGCACGTACTTAACAAAAACGACGATATTATCAATGCTGGGTACTGGGTACTTTCTGAAAATCGCAAATTAATCTCCAGCAAGGAAAACCAATTTTTCTTAATCGCAAAAATTACTTCCCACAAAACACAAAAAATCGCCAATCCGCAAAAATAAACTCCCGCAAAAATTTAGTGCCACACGGTATCAAGAATTGCGTCCTGTTGCAAAACCGTTCTTCGCTAAATCAATTCCAAATCCTTTATTAGGCGAATGCTGGTCAGGTCCAGATGATGAAATCCAATACAACAAAATTGGGCGTGATGATAACAAATGTTTGACCAGGAACTATCAGACATGTGCAGCCAATCCTAATGCAAACAACTTGGAATGTATTGGTACACAAAAGGCCAATTACGTATACGGCATTGCAAAAACTCAAGGTAAATTTGATATCTAGTGAATTATCAAATGTATATCCGAAAGCAGACTGTTTTTACTCCAGTTGGCTTATTCCTGTTAGTAGCTTGAATCTTTTTCGCGTATCAGGCGAGCTGAGCAAGGTTTACTTGCTGGAACGTCAAGGATATACGATCTAGAGCTATCTAGGTCTGGACAAAAATCCCAAGCCCACCTACAATCATGCTCAAAATCATTGGGAAGGATTCAACTTTTTATCTGTCCTTTGCTTCTTTCCCCAGCCTCCTTGCCCAACAAACCTAGGGTGTTTGAGCGCTTGATTGTTCTATCATATCCCAACATTAACTAGACTGAAGGAATCCGGAAGGGGAGAACTATTTAGCAAAGGGGAAAAGTACTTCCTTGGCTATTATCATAAACGGCATGAAAGGGGCAATTATGGTATTTAGTTATAAAAACATTCCCAAATACTATATACCGTGATTGTAACTTGAATAACAAAAATGGGCGGGGAGGCATAAACGTCAAATTTATAATCTAGTAATTCATTATCGTATAAAGCGCTCAGTGATGGTTGTTTTACAGATCCAAGTTGTTCAGTGCCCTTTAAGTTTGTTGGCTGCTACAAAGATCGCATAAAAAAGGGTGGACCCAGACAGCTTCCAGTACTGCTTTTTACAGACCGTGACAAGTCAAGCAAAAGATATAGCGGTAAACCAATTGACTGGGGCAACTGGGACACCTTTATTGAAGACTTAGTTTGTCGCTGCGCAAAAGAAGCTAAGGAAAAGCGATATTCGCATTTTGGCATTCAATTTTACGGTAGGCGTGTTTGTTATAATACAGTATGTAAAAATACAATGCTGCACTGTCGCGCGAGAACAGTACAGTTTCTTCAATAGCAATAGATTCAGCACCTGTGAGGTTTGACGTTCGACCCAAACCTATGGGTGACGCAGTTCTCTCTAGTTCAAAAAGAAAACAAGCCGCTTCCTTTTGAATGAGGCAAAGCGAAAAATTTTTTAACAGACGCACGAGACTGCTTGAACGGTTCTTGTGTGGGACTCAAACCCATGGGAAGAAAATGTTTTGTTATCATTCAAGCAGTCGCGTGCGTCTGTTAAAACTTTTTCGCTTTGCCTCATTCAAAAGGAAGCGGCTTGTTTTCTTTTTGAACTAGAGAGAACTGCGTTATCACTGGTTTCAAGAAACAACAACAACATGACCCTTACCCTAACCCTAACCCTAACTCTAACAACAAGACATTAGAGGCTTTAATAACATGACCAGAGTTCTCCTTGTTTCAGTGCTATGTATCCACATCACCTCTAACTCCTTTGCATGTAAACAGCATATCTTAGGTACCCATTTGTACTTGTGGATGTAACACAAAACAAAATTACTTTCTAAGGAAACAACGTAATGACACGGACTGAGCTACTACGCAACCAAACCATCATATGTTAAATTTAATTGTTGATATTTTCGTCTTTTTTTGTAGGAGAATGTTGGTCAGGACCCGAAGCAGGCGAGGCTCTTGCCGGCCAGGAGTCTCCAAACAAGTGCGTTACGAAGGATTTTGAAAAGTGTGAGCCAAATGACACTTGTGTCGGAAAACAGAATGCCAATGCTATATACTCAATTTAAGAAATATTAAAACAAGTATTGCAAGTAAACCCATCGTTTCTCATTTCACCACTGTGCCTTTGGAACTATAGGCTACTATTAAAATTAGCTGGGAGTCGCCTAAAATTAAAATGCAATTTACAAACATCAAACGTTTTTTTGTAACATGTCATTATATCACTGAATTTCTAGCTGAATGATATATATTTGGAAAAGTTGCACTGTTGTTCTTCCCCTTTAGAGGCTAGAAAATTGCTGCAGCAATGAAAATGTTTCTAGGTCGCCCGAGAGATGATAAATTATTTTCCCTTCATTATTTTTCTCCTGACTTTCTCAGTTATGGAATCACCTAGTCCGGGGAGAGTGTTACCTACGAGATCTCATCAAAATAATTCTCCATAACATATTAAAGCCGAACCTAATTCTTTTATCGTTCGATAAAAGGAAAACATTTCAAACTCCAAAACATTTTTTATGCTTGATACTAAGTTGGTGTCTTCATAACTTGTCCATTTCTTGTCAACTTTTAGCTACTTTTGGATCTAAAGGAAAAAAACGTGCTCGCCATAAGGCCGCTTGCGGAGCGAGTTGATAATTTTGTCGAAATTTGACATCGCACATGGAGCGCGCGTCGATCGCACAGCGAGGCACAAATCCGAGTCGGCTTTATTCTCGGCTCTTACTTGACGTCACAAAAATTAAAACCAAGGAATTATCGATTCTTCTGAGTTTCTACTTTAATGTGGTATTACAGCAGCTGACCTTTATTTATACAAATTTTCGGTTCGAAAGAGCTCTTCTTTTTTCGATAGAGGACGCTTGAATTGCCAGGCTTTTACGTGCTCTTTAATTTTGTGGGTTAAAACCTTACCGATTTTTTGAGATTTTGCTCTCTAAACTTTCCTTGAGTTATGAAGTAGTTTTGTGGTTGCTTTTTGACATCATTATCATAGGGATTTTTGGTGACAAGTTTGTTTGTTCTTGAGCGTTCGCTTGTGCGTTGGGTTTCGTTATGTTTAGGTTGAAGAACAAGGTTGACCAGTATAAGTGTTAACAGCTAGGTTTTTGAGTGTTATTACCTTTTTAATAGGTTTATTGACATAGGTGTCATTAAGCTTGTGGTATAATTAAGTTTCATTGTCAGTCTTTTAAGTGGGTACGCATTGGAACCATCGCTGACCTTGATTGTTATCTATATCAGAGTTCCTGTTTTGGTTTAAGATTGAGCCTCTTGGATTTAGCTGTCCTGCTTTCATTGGTTTTCTTATAGGTTTGTTTATTCAACTTTGGTTAACAACAAGAAATTCGCTAGAGTCATTCGGGATAGCGTTCTTAACTCTCATGGTCAGCAAGCCTGAACTTACCTGCGTTATTCTTAAGTTAGTTGTATAGTTGGATGGTCAGCAGTTAGTGATTAGCTGTTGTAAGAAACTGAACTGAAGAGGTTGTGTTGCTGTCAGTCATTAAAAAGAAAAAAAGTATCAAAGCTTTGCCCGAGTCCTGGAGCCCTCTTACACTTGTATCAGAATGAAAATTACCTTTAGTTAATTTGATTATAATACGTGAGATAAGCAGTGTATCGACACTGCAAGGAAAGCAGCTTTGATGCTAAGTTCTTACCCACTGCAGCAGAATGATGGCTCAGTTAATGACCCCTTCATCGCAAAAGTGACCGTTCCCTTACATTTACTTTTATAGACAAGCCATTGACACCAATCCAAGTCTTTTTAGATCCTATACTTTAGCTTGTACTTATCGTTTGTAGAAGGCCTAAATGTAATAATTACGACCATAAATGTAATAAAGTCCTAAATGTAATAACATTTTGTGCTAAATATAATAAAGACCTCAATGTAATAACATTTTGTCCTAAATGTAATAAAGTCTTAAGTTGCAAATTACAGTGATTACTCAAACATGTCAAATAAGCACCGCATTTGGGGGAATATAATAAGCGCCACTGCGCTTATCCGTATAAATACGGTACTAAGAGATATTACTATGGTTTTAAGCGCCGCATTTTTGAAGAAAAAATTTAATAAGCTTCGGTACATTTCCTTATGCACTGTGTAATTTGACGTTTACAAATAAATTGCTTGTAAAGGGACAAATTAAAAAAAATACTTGTAAGCCTTAAAACGTTTTTCATACTAAATTTACTGCAAAAACCGTGGACGAAGTTCCTGTTGCATGTCAAAGTTGGATCTCTAGAAAAGAGATCTAATCAGCTAAAATATTAAGGACAAAAAAACGAGAAGTCTAAAGACTACTGCACAGCTGATAATAACGTTTATAAATGAACTAAGATATAGTACGCGCGCGCTCTGATTGGCCGAGAGCCGTGTGTTTGCATGAGAGTATGTAAACATGTGTGGAGTCAAGATGTTTTGCTCTTCGCGCGCTGATCACACAAGCACCAATTTTAAAATGTTTTTGAGTTGAAAACTCGACAAATTTACTTAACTTACCCACTACCTCGTCGGATGAAACTTGGAAAATCTTTTTGGAAAGCATCTTTACTGCAAAACAAGAACTGATTAGACTTACATTAAGCTTCGTGTACCAGATTTCGCGACTGGTAAGAATTTCTCTTTTAATCAGTAACCTAAACAAAGGGTTTTTTTTTTTCTCCGGAAAGTTATTTTATAAAAGCAATAGAAAACTTTTTTCCTGCGTTTGCATAGCCTGATATAAACAAACGAGGGGCTGGGAGGCACCGTTTTCCCGCCACTTTCATCCAAAGTCGGACGTACCACCGCATCCTGAAAACTAAAGCGCCCTCGCCCCTGCCCCCAATCCTTTCCCAATTAGTGAGTCGAAAGTGGATACGAATTAGTTTTTTAGGTCATAGACTTGGCCAAGCCTTTCAGGAGTTGATGGGTAATGATTAAATGTCAGAGGGGACTTAAAACTTTGAAGATACAATTTCGTACTTTTTGGCCTCTTAGACACATGAACAGACAACCGAAGTTTTCCTCTCCCTTTCATACAGGAAGAAAAGCAAGGGGGCGTAGCTACGAATAACACCTGCTTCCTGGTGGTACATTTAGTTGGCCTGTCGCACCTTGACAAAAGACACAAAAAATACAAATCCGTAACAATGTTTATATAAACAAGCAAAATTTTCTTTCTCGTTCTATTGAAAGGATAAATTAAAAATACCTCTATACAAACTTAAAATGACTGTTACAATTTTGCATCAATGCTTTGACTGTGGCATTCGAGAATATTAGTGACAACTATGACCATTTTGTTTTTATTTATTGAAGTAAAAAGGCACCTAAATTAGAAGAATTTTTAAGGGTTGTTGTGCGAAATAAAATGTAAAGGTGGTTTGATTTTCTGCCGTGATTAATAATGTTTACGTCATACTATAGCTATTTTCCCTTGCACCAATGTTCGGCAGAAGAAGAAAGGTTGTCAGGTTTTCACCTTTTCCTTTTCCTACTTCTCCAGAAGAAAAATTCGAGGTTCATGGAAATGGAACTTTTCTTTCATCTGGTATTTTTGGTAACAATTGCGTCAACAGCTGGTGAAAGTGAAACTGAATTCGCTGAAGGTATGTTGAAATATGTTATTTGAGTGCCTCGGGGCTTGACTCGCGAAACATCAATGTGTATTTGTCTATTAAATGTTAGGAAAAATGCTGGCAACGATCTCAGTTTAAAAAGGATGGTTAATCGTGACATGCAGTTGTTCAAGGGGTTTGAGTGTTGATATTCTGTGTTTGTTTTGATTAAAATTTTGCAGGTGAAATTTTCACAGTTGAAATCCGATATAATAATCTACAAATACTTTGCTATAACTGACGTCTTTCCATTGAGGAGCATTAGTAGTTTCGTGTAAATTGAGGCTCTCTCGGGTTCAGTATTATAATGGTGGTTTGCTTTTAGCTCGTAATTGTCAGCAGAGTGTCATCTCTTTGAGGCGGCATAAGTTATACATATGAACCATTTAATGTCCTGAAACATCTATTTTCCATCCAATGCTCAGTTTGCCCTTTCATGTTGATTCCTTCATTGACATCTTGCAAACCAGACAGCCACGTAAAATAACGGGAGAGTACCAAACAAAAATAATCGAATTAGAGACTAAATAACAATTTATTGCCGTGGTCACACCACAGACTTTTATCTAGGGAAAATTCATCAAAAGTCTCCCGAGGTAAATTCATCTCGGGTTTGGTTTTCCTTACCTGGTAAGGTCACACTACTGATATCTGTGATATCGGCTCCCAAGGTTTTTACGCACAGTTGAGACGTGCGAGAGACGTTTTTCTTTTTATCTCATTGTTATTTTTTACGCTAATTCAACGTGCAAGGTGAAGACAGGCGAAGACGTAGACAAGTCGTGCCACTAGCGTGAGCTATGTCCGAGCTATGTCCTTCGCCAATGAGCGGCTATTAGAGAGCGGTATTTCATTTTTTCATAGCTATCGCTTTGGGGTAGCTGTAAAGGGAAACTCTATTGTTTTCTAGACATATCCAAGCCCCAGACGACAAAATTTCCCTGATGTGGATTACCTGGCGAAAAGTCGGTCACTTTCTTAAAAATCAAGTTTCCCTAGATAAACTATCAACAATTCCAGTCTACCTAGGTAAAAAGACTGTGACCATGTAAGCTAAGTGTAAGCTACTATCACAGGTTTAAGCACCTCCATTTTTATGATTTACTTTTGATCAAGACAAATACTACATGATGCCAGGTGACTGAGAGACACCTGTTTCTGGTGGTGCATACCCTTGGCTAATTGCTTCAAGTCAAAACGTCGCAATAAAGTGATAATATAACACAACATGACCACTTGAACAACAATGCTGCGGTTCAAAACCGACACTTAATGACAAAACGTTCGCGGTAATCATATCTTCAACGTAACACTTTACAGACCGCGTGCGAAACTTTCCCTAAAGGAGTGAATGTTTTGGCTGAATTGTAATATGGAAAACTAGAACTAGCAATTTCGCATTCTGCTGAAATGGCATTGAAAGAAACAACCATCATTAATCACTGACCTTTTT